CTTGGCAACAAGATGGAAAGACATAAAACTTCAGCAACAACAACAAAAAAAACAAAAACAAAAAAAAAAACACTGTTAACTAATATGAGCATTCCAACAGACAGCGTCACCCATCGGGTGTACACTGCAAAAAAAGCTCGACGTCGTCGGGCCAAAAAACCACACGATTCTGGCATTTTTAAGGGAGATGGAACATTGGTGTTGACGACACAAAAAGATAGCGATTATGTGCCCAAAAAAGGTGAACGATATGAGATACGGAAACAAAATGAAGCTGACATTTGGAAGGTAATATTTTTTTCCGTTCTTTTCTTATTACCAATTTTTTTTTTCGTTTATCTGCTTTCAATTACATCGTCATTACTCTCAGGGCTAAGCATTGACTGTGTGAATTCGTATTTTTTTTTTCAAAAAAATGTTGAAGTAATAAAAAATTTATGATTTCGTGTGGGAAAATGCTTCCGCTATTTTTTTTTCACTTCTATGTTCAGCTGAAACAGTTGGAATACTTGAAATGTGTATCGGTTTTTGTTTTTTTGCGTGTACGAGTGTGCATCTGTGTGTTTATGCATATCAGAAGTGTTAAGCATTGTGACAGCGTAATGCGCAATGATACACCGGGTGAAAAAGCTCCGTGTGTTTCTTCGTTATTACTTTTATTACACTACATCTATTTATAAAAAGATGTAATTATATAATGTAAATATATACAAATATAAAAAACTAATGTCATAAATTGTATTTTCAATGCAATGTAATAACACAAAAGAAAAGACCAATAAACGACGTTATTAGAATTTAATAAACAACGTTTTAATCTCAAAGACATTTTTCATACCAAAAAATAGAATGTCACTTTGCTTAGTTGTTATTGCATGCTTCGCTTTGAAATAACGCGCATTCTAAATAATTAACAAACACAAAAATAAAGTTTTCTATTTAGCAAAAACGATGTTTACTGAGCAAAAGAGAAAAAAATGACCGTAATTTCAGAGTGCTGCCAGTATGGAAGGTACCAGTGTCGCCCGTGAAACATATACACCAAAAAAAGGAGAACGATATGAAGCAAAAAAGCCACAAGATTCTCAGATTTTGAACGACGATGGTTCATTTGTAAAAAAAACACAAAAAGAGATTGATTATGTGGCAAAGAAGGGTGAACGTTACCAGGCAGTCAAGCCGAAGGAGTCAGATATCTGGACGGTTAGCACCACATCTGTTTACCGCAGAACAGTTGCAGAGCTGTAAAGCATTTCCGAGAACAATGATTATTACTACTTCATTTATACCAATTTTTCATCCTAGTTTTTCCGCTTACCTCTTTCCCCTCTTTCGTTTTTCTCAAAAAATATTTCATACTTAGAATAACTACAAAACTGCATAAAAAAAGAAAACAGAACGTGCTAAGCAATTATAAAAACAGTGATTTTGTAAGTTTTTTTTAAAACTTATTTAACTGGAACACAAGACAACTTTTTTTTCGCTTGTTTTTTCAAAGCCAAATCTAACGGTATAATTACTCAGTTGTACACCGGTTTTTCTTTGCAGAAAGAAGGTAGCATTCCTGCTGAAAGTTTAACACATCAAGAATATACCAGCAAACGTGGCGAACGATATGAAGTTAAAAAACATCAAGATTCTAACCTGTTCAAAGGTGACGATGCTGCGGTGTTAGAGTCATCAACTGGAAGAGAATTTGTGCCAAAACAGGGTGAAAGATATGAAATAAAAAAGCCAAAAGAATCTGATATTTGGAAGGTAAGTGCAAGCAAGTCATAGTTAAGTAAATTGTCCTTATAACAAAAATGGTTTATATCAATATGTTTCTTCTATTCTAATTTTAGGTTGTAGAAGGGGAAGCATGTAACTTCATGTAAGCTTTTTCTTCTGAGAAGTTAAAAAGTTTTTAAACAGTCATACGTTTCCAAAACCCTATCATTACAGCAAGTAATCAATCATCTATTCCATCGAAAAACAAAGCAAAACTTTAAAAAAAA